AAATGTTGCCTTAATGAAGGCGAAAAACTAAAAATCTCCACGGACATAATTATATAGAGATTCCCAAAAATTCCACTACAGAATGCGACTTTAATTTGATGAATTTGAATGAAGAATGTCAAACATATCCCGAGAACAACAAATATACAATAATGTTGTAATAAACAATGTTGTTTATTTGAATTACGATTTTTCTGTATAAATTACTTCTTAATAAAAGTAATGCTAAAGTTACCAGATAAAAATCACCTGCAAAAGTTTCCGATTCAGTTTAATTTTTTTAATTTTTTATTTACATAAATAGGTACCTTTAAAAAAATTATATTACCTTATTAAAATACGATACCGTCTAACCATTATTATATATTTTAAGGTCGTCGTACCTTACACTATATTTCAAGGAGGTCTTATATGAAAATTTATGCTGTTTTGCGCAAACGTAAACACCACAACAATTATTTGTTGAATGAATGGATCGGATTCGGACAATGTCATCGTAATGTGCAAGTGTATTGTTATTAACAAAAAAACGTTTTACATTTGTCTATTCGAGTTTAAAGAATTTCCTGATGAATCTCCGTAGTTCAGGATCCTATATGAATGAAATTAATATGGGCAACATGTGAGCTGAAACAAGCCCAATACAAATATGTAAATATTTTTTGAAATCGATTGATCGATGTTCGAATCGATTGGTGTACAAATATATTTACAACTCATCCATATATAATATTGTACGTGAGTTATGTACAGCCTGCCTTTGAATCAAAGCGTCACAGTTTAAACGCTCTAGATGTAAGGTTATTCGAGTAAAGGGTTACACGAATATTTACTCGCAATCTCTATGTTTGGAGGAAAAGTAAAATGACACAATGATATTGTGATTCACTCCGAGGTAGTAAATAATATATCTAAGTATTAAAATTAAGTATACTGGGTTGTTTATCCAAGAGCGTTTCGGGTCGAAACATCTTCCTATGTAGTGTAACCAAATTAAACCCTGTTAAAGTTTCAAACTGAAACACATTACGCGATTTACCCCATAAAAAGACAGATTGCTTGAAGTACATAGTGAGAAAAATAGATGTACTATTTCAAATATAACACCATGGTAGGCTAAAGGTAATAAATGGTTTTCTTGTACCGAGTAATGCGTTCATAAATTTTGTCGTATAAAGTAGTAAGCGTGTCATAAAATTAATATTGTGACATAAACATCCTGCTGTTACACAATATTTATGATTCGAGCGCTTAAATTATACACTTCAATAAAAACACTTTAAATTGAATTTCTAAGGAAATATAAGGTTCACATCTAAATAATATGTCAACTTTATTTGTAATACCCTAATTACCGTCCTCCATCAAGGGAACAAAACGTAGTTAAATTGAGCCTAGAGAGATACGTGAAGCAAAAACTTTGTACCCCTTTTTACGATAATTGCGCGGACGTAGTTTATACAGAGAAGGAGAGCAGAATTTTTTAAAATTATGAATAAAGAACATTACATTAAATCAATAAAAAAAACATTACATACACTACCACAATTAATTATGGTCTAATTTTGACCACTGGGCAACCACTTTTAATTATAAAAAAACATTACTAACACTACCGGGCATCACTAGTAATTATAAAACTACAACTTACCCGTAAGCTTGCTTACGCTATAACACTCGCTAACAAATTCATATCTAGTATACAAAACTGAAATTAGCCTTTAATTTTAACTTGCTGGAAATATCTTTTTGTGTACTTGTCCGCATTCGAGATAAGGGGAGACGAAATACGTGATAACGGATGCTCTTCAACAAACATCCATGGACAAGAGTTATTCTGCCCAATTTTGCTGAAAAACCACTTGCTTACGATTCTTACTGGCTTTTACGTTCAAATAATATCGAAGCTATAAAGAGAATACTGTTGTACTCCTTTAATTTTTAGGGCTCCGTACCCAAAGGGTAAAACGGGACCCTATTACTAAGACTCCGCTGTCCGTCTGTCCGTCTGTCACCGGTCTGTATCTCATGAACTGTGATAGTTAGACAGTTGAAATTTTCACAGATTTTCTGATGCCGCTATAACAACAAATACTAAAAAACAGAATAAAACATATTTAAGTTGTTTTTTTTTTCCCGTTTTTATAGACAATGGTATGGAACCCTTTGTGCGCGATTACGATTCGCGCTTGGCCGGTTTTATTATATTTCATTTTCTTACAATCGACTGGGTGGAGCCGTTGCTAAGCTATTGGCTCCGGGGTCGGGGGTCGTGGGTTCGATTACTACACGACAGGCCACAAGCAGTGACAGATTTGCAGTCTTGGTCGCCCTAGGCCCCCGCCCAAGTAGTAAATTCCAGCCGCCCCCTTCTCAGAGCCCATCATATATCTTATTATCATCAGTAGTTTTTTAATCACGATTGGCCGTCCCCAATATGTGGCGGTCTTAGGCCCAGGCCTATTCGGCCTTAGGACAAATCCGCCACTGGTTACAAGTATTTCTTGCGGATCTGGTTTGTTTCCCAAGAAGGGTTGACGTCAAGCAGGCGGCCGGTCGTAAAAAACATAGCCAAAACCACTTGCTACATGTGAATAATGTAGCAAGTGGTTTTCGCTATGCCGAATGAAAATTTGGTTGTACCGAACCCATCTAGGTGGGATAAGGGCAGGAGGATGATGATGATGGTTTTCTTACAATTCTCTTTTTTAAAGCGTTATATTAATTGGAAATGGAGGAAAGGGTGATGTCCCTGTATTGAATATAAAGTGAAATGAGCAACATTTACCTATTCGCGCATTACACTAATTAAAAAGGTCACGCACCTCAACGTCGCTTTAATTAAACACACTTGGTGGTGATTTTTCCACTATAATTTAGATATATTCCACTCTAGCGAGCAGGCAATAGCAATATTTATCCTGCGACAAATTAAACCTTTCAATGTTTCATAAAGATTAAACCTACAAGGCCCCAGGCTAGGTAGTGTTTATCTTTTATTTTATAAACTAACTCTTGTTCGTCTTTGTGTTCATCCTTATAATAAAAACTACTAATACTTTGATTTAAATTGTTTTATAATATGAAACTTAAACCATGAAAAATCGTGTCATATAATATAGATATAAACCATAAAGGTAGCATTTTATAACATGAGTTTTGCGTCCTTTCCGCTTTTATCTCGAATAAATATGTACCATGCAGTGGAATATTTTTCTTTTCCGTTTCTCATTGCAGAATGGACCCACTTGGGTCCCCGTTTGCTGGAACGCTTCGAGCGCAGTTTAGTTGACATCTCATATCCTACACTGTTCAACATAATCAATTATACGAGGCATGTAAGCAGACGCACCTGCATTCTTAAAGTATTAAAGTATTCGCTTCACAGTTTACCAGTTGCAGATTACATTGCCTCGGATTTCAGATAAATACAAATGTAAGTAACTTTACACGTAGAGATCTTGAAATTCACAAAAAGCTTCAAAATAGTTTTATGACGATCAAACACGAGAATTCATCACTACATAGCATAAAACAAAGTCGGCCCGCCATATCTGTCTGTCTGTCCCTGTATGCTTAGATCTTTAAAACTAAGCATTGATGCGATTTTCTTTACTACATAGTGATTCAAGAGGAAGGTTTAAATGTATGATACATTGCACCCGTGTGAAGCCGGGGCAGGTAGCTAGTTATACATTAATACATTTATCAGATATTATTGGCACCTCGCCGGAGTTCGCGATATAAATATGCGTCAAAAATAATTAACATGGTAAAAACAATTTAGTAACGGCCAATTTACAAGCAAAGACTACCATTTTCTTAATTTCAGTTCTAATCTTATAGTAAGCGTAAGGATATGAATGGAAACACCAAAATAATTAAAACATAATATAATTAATGAAAAGATATATTAAAATACTTAAGAATAGGAGGCTTCTGTAGTCTTAAACAAAAACAGACGTCTGTTTTGGTATAACTTTCCGTAAACAATAGTAACATGAAAAATTAAATTGTATTACGCTTTAAGTAAAGACGTTGCCTGTAAATTAATCTGGTTCCGTATCTAATTACGACTATGGTCTATTCAGCTTCACAGCGCCCTTACAACGTCCACGGCCCGAGGGGCCTAACGCAAATATTCGCATATTTTTCAACGTAATTGGTTAAAAAAAACAAAGGAAATCTCGGGGATGAGCCTGCAGCGGCTATTATCGCGCCCTATTAGGCCGAGGGTAATGTTGAAACGCCTTTTCAAGGCGTCATTTACGCTTAGTTGATATAAATCGGTGTTTAAAGCGATTAAAGCTCTGAAAGATTTGGGTTTTGTAAGCTGGCGATATGGTGATGAGGTGAAATTCAAAGAACATATTTCATGTCATAAAATTACTATATTTATTCGTGTGTATATACTTACAGCATATATTACATATACAATTATTAAATCTATAGTATTTATACCATATTATAAAATAATGTTATATCATTTATTTTATTGACATGTTTTATAAATTATTTATTCCAGTTTAAGCTTAATATGACATGCATTACATAAGGAGCCTAAAATTGTTTTAAGGCCTTTGTTTAACTACTACAAAGGAATGTCAATTCTCAGCAAGTTTTAGGATAGAAATATTTATACTCACAAAACAGACCACGAAAACATATTCTAGACTGTGATTTGTTTAATAATGTTTTTAACTACTTTCTAACTGTTGAAATCTTTTATTAGAAATACTGCATTTTAGGTCTTCGTTGTATGATTAGGAGCATAATGTTTACTATTTTACGCATAATTCTAATAAATATAATCATGAGATCAAACTTTCTATCATAAAAGTATAACTTATTATATATTATGTTAATATTCTACATTTTTAAACAAGTATCACCATTTATTTCCGCGTACATGATAAAGACATGTCATGTTATGTCATCAAGTGCAACACTGGACTTGATTCTTCCTCAGATTGGGCAATAACAGACAAGTCCAAAGCTTAGTCCGAATCTCCTGAAAGCTGAATGTCTTGTGTTCGATCGTCATCATCCATGTTCAGGCCCGTTAAGGAGTCAGAAGCTTCACTCTGCTCCTGAAGCCTCTTCAAGTCTTCGTATTGCTTTCTTGTGAAGAAACCGTACTAAACAGGTGGATAAATAAACAAGAGATAAGAAAGAGATCGTAAAAGTCGTAATATCGTAGTATAAGGATTTTGATCGTATTTACAAGACATTCACAGAATGACGATCCAATTGGCGTAGTGGATGGCCTTGTCTCTTGCACCAGAGGGTGTGGGTTCGATCCCCACTATTGGAAATATATTCTGTATTGAACGCAGTGTGTTTCTAGTGTCTGCATATCAAGACCCAAACTAAGCTAAGCTTGTATGGGTAACTAGGTAACTTATAAGCATACTTAAACATACATTTTTTGTAAATACATATAAAGAATAGGAGGATATAGATTTATAAACACCCACTAGAAAAAACCCATTTTCATAACACAATATTTTCCCGGTTATGGGAATTTAACCCACATCTCCTGTCATGAAAAGTATAGTAGACTGATACGCGTTCAATGTAGTTTGGAATGATCGCAATTATTTCTTTATTCACGTACACACAAACAAACCAGGCATAAAAAATCATAAAATAAGGACACTAGAATTATTCTTATAAAATATTCACTACTGACAAAATTACCTTGTAGAGTCCGTATACGATGGCTGCGAGGAGCAGAAAACCTGACACTATTCCGGTTATCAAAGGCCATAACGGCGGTGCCGGATCCAATATAAGCGTAGTTGTTACGAAATATTTCCTGGAAAGAAAAAAGGTTTAGATGGCGAGAACTGTTCCAAAATACTGTGGAGTTAAAATTAATAAGGATGATAAAATTTCATTTCCTGTCACGAAATCATCAAATTTCTTCATGGTCGGTCAAATTTTTCCGACGTGATAATATTTTGTTCATAAATCCATGTATGTGGGAATGATAGTGAAATGTAGAGAAACGGAACGTTAAGTGAAAGAGAAAGACGGATAGAGAGAGTGAGCGATAGTGAAGACCTATGGCGAGTGTGAAGCAAGTCGTTAAGATGGAAGACGTGTGTAAATTTGTTAAGGCGAAAACAAGGCGTATTTATTAATTAACAAGAACATAAATACTTATTAGCTAAGAGCTTAGAAGCTAAGACCGTGTCCGCTAATTTCGAAATCCATCCATGTATATAAATTTGCTTTCACTTACTTGTTCTGATATTTAGGTAGCAAAATCGTAGAAGTAGCATTCAAGGCTGTTTCCTCCTCCAAGTATTGACCTAAAATATTTAATATAAAATAAGCATGATTTTTTTTAAAATTGTATATTAATTTTTTTAAAGTGATAACTTAAACATAAATTAGTCATGAAAATTTGTAGAGAAATTTCAGATAAAGAAGGCGAGCTTAACCCTAAACAGTTCTCTGCCAGCAAACCTTTCGTAATAATTAAAAATAAATAAGTAATCAAAGGAAAATAGGTAGGTGTGTACAATGAAAACCGCGACAATAAATTAACACACATATAGGGGACAACTTTTTAAAATTGTATTAAACATTTACATTTTTTAAACATCAATATTTAAATTTTCCAAAACAAACAATTTTAGAACACCCTTACTTATAAAACAGTAACGTAAAGTTCATACTGTTAGAAGGAGAGATTTGTAGTTGTAATGCGACGCTGTGGCAACGAATGAAAAAGTCTCTGAATGTATGAATCAATCAGTTGTAGTTGTATAGGACGTTACAAATTTTGTTTCTTTTTAATTTAATTAGTTTATTTCAAAAATGTTTTTTTTTTTCAATTATGGATTTTTAAGGTTTATATTTTTTAATGATTATTGGCAAGTATAATGAAGTTTAATCATACCATGTAAAAATAAATTGAATTTGTACGAAAGCGTGATTATTCGCGACGTATTCGCCGGGAGAGACCAGAAGCATTGGAGCTGATAGTCGACCTCCGAGCATCCATCGATGCCGTTGGAGAGGTTCATCTGCAAAAAGTAAAGTAAAATAACAGCCTATACATGTCCCACTGCTGGCCAAACGCCTTCTCTGTACAAAGGGTATTCGGGCATAGTTCACCATGTGACCCCACTGCGGATTGGCGGACATCACATATCTTCAACACCTTTTTTTGTTTTTGTTATTATTTCGAAAATGTGCAGTATTCCTGATGATCAGTTTGCCTTCACCGCGCACGTGATAAAACGGCTCTTAAAATTAACAATTTCATTGATATCGGCACCGGGGATCGAACTCGGGTTACTCAAGTGTATTGTGGTAAAAGCGAGCGTATTCTGTAAGTATGGTTTTATATTTCACTATAAATTGATTACTTTTAATCCATTTTGTTTTTACAATTTTCCATTTATCAAGATCAAGTAAAAAAGTGTCTTTATTGCACAGTATGTTTTTGTGTATAATTTGTTATTTATCGTTTTGTTACTAACCTTCTCTGGAATCAATATTTGAGCCGATAAATTGTACCAGTCGGACGGTCCCAAATTGATCACCTGTCAAATAAGAAATATTGACATAATTGTGACTGAAGCATTTTCATGATTACGGAAAACATTTCATATTTTAGTTATTATTTTGTAATGTGATAGGATATTGATTGTATTCTCTTCAGGCAGGACTCTATAAGTTATTAAGAAAAAAAATTTATTACTAGGTAGCATTATTACTACAGAAAGTCTAATCCAGTTTTTAGTCTTGTCTATTGGAACAAAAGTACCCGGCCTTCGTAATTATTGCAGTGAATTTTCTTTTGTATGTGAAAAGGTAGCAAACGAGTAGGCCTTTCACGTGATTTTAGGTGATAACGACCGCTCTTTGACATATGCAACACCCACAGGGTTGCGGATTCGTTACCACCTTTTAAAAAAGAGGACTACCTCACACTCGAAACGCAGAAGTACACTACTTCCACTTCACGCCAGCGGTCTCTGGGCTTGTGGTACTTACCTGGACGGACTTACCCATTCGTGCAAAAGCGAAGACTGTTGCGAGGCCATACCAATAAATGCCCAAGTTTTTTTTTTATGTGAGAAAATGGCAAACGAGCTGGCGGTTCACCTGATGTTAAGTGATAACCACCGTCCATGGACATATGCACTACCCGTAGGGTTGCTAATGCATTGCCACCTTTAAATAAAGTGGGGCCCGGCTGCCTCACTCTCCAAACGAAACGTACAAGTGTAACACTTCTACTTTAAGTCGGTCTTCTGTGAGGTTGTGGTACTTACCCGGACGGACCTGCCCATTCATGCACCGTAGAAAAAAATATTGTTTACCTCAAAATAATGAATGAACACTACATTCCCAGCGTTTGCAAATTCGTCTCTAGTAACTGTGATGGTCCTATTTGGCTGAACAGTCCTGAAATTTTAAATGCCGTCACAATTAATTTGAATGCTGAGAAGTACTATGTAGAAACACATATTAATATTATTAAGAAAGAAAGAAAAAATGTTTATTTACCAACAAACATGTAATTTTTAACGTTTTTTTAAACGTTTAATTTTTCGCACTACCCATCAAAGACATAGTCCGATCTTACTTTCCTTCAAATTTACTATGATCACTTAATAAATCAGAATAATTTCGATGATATTTCATAACGACACTTACCCGGTAATATTATAAGATGCTTCGGGTTTTATAACTATAGTAAGGTGTTTGGTAATCTTATCACTGGAGTTCTTGCTATGAAGCGGATCTTCTAGATCAGCGTCAACCTTTATTTCACTAATAACCGAAGTGTTTTGAGAGAATTCCAATTCAATTTCCCAAGATACGGACTCGTTTCTATGGAGAGGTGCCGGTACGTCACAAGTAACGTTTAGCTTTTCCAAGGAACATGCGCTTGGCAGCCTTTTAGGTAGGGACGGTAAACAAAGATTCACTTTAGCCCCGTAAGCGGGTTCATCTTTGTTTAGTATGGTCACTTCCACGCCCAGCCTGTTCCCTGATCCAGGCACAAAAGGACTGAAATCGAAAAGAATCTAATTACACTTCTAAAATTTGAAAATTTTTAAGTATATGTAAAAACCATTTTGAAAAAGATTGCTTCTTCTACTGACATTCAAATATCCAATTTAAGTAATTACGAAGACACTCCACAACTATTTTTTATTTAACTTTCTTTTACTTCGAGAATGATCACAACTATTAATTTCATCAAAGTTTGGTCCACATTACCTGTTTAGGGGTTTTAAAGTCAATTCCAATAACGGTTTACATATCAGATCCTCCCCACAATCTCTATTTAGTTGAATATCAAACGAAGAGTGTAGTCGCGATCTCTCAGAAATTCTAGCTTCATCTGGTATAAAAATCGGTGAATCATCTGAAACAGACAGATTGTATTCAATCAATAAATATGGATTTATTTCAATATTGGCAATTGATATTCAGTATTTATCGAATTTACGAAGTTACCTTTAAGTAGGATTTTGGGGTGCAAATCAAATATTATTGTAATTGGCTTTGATAGGTCTGCCGTGGGCTGTAAGAAAATATGAAATTCAGTATTATTATCCTCCACTTATTATTGCTGGTCATTAAAGGTTTGGTACTATGTTCACTCGTAACGATCTTGGCTCCGTGCATCAGGGGCTAGTTTTCTAAGATGCTTCTAAGACGAATTGGAAGAGTCCCAATAGATTTTGAAATTTATGTTCACTAACTTTTTAGAAAATTACCATTTTTATAATTTTTTTATTACCGCCTTAAAGGAATAAACATGAAGTCATACAGAAAGAGATACATTTTATGAATCAAACTAATTTTTGTTATACCGCCTAACGACTTATGTGGTCTGTCACATTTTACTCTTAAAAAGGTGGTTTAATTGTGTGCATGGTACTCTATACCAGCTTGAGCATCAAAGTCTACTCTGTTCAGGCCAAAAGTCGTGTGCGCTCGTGACATAAATTATCGTGACATCGATATATCTCTTACCGTAACCTGCACAATTTGCTCTTTACATGCTTTGTCCCCTGGTTTAACGATGATTTCATATGGTTCATCATCAACTATCCAAGCTCTTTCCCCTGCAGGGTCCACGGTAATCTTTGCTAGAAGGGCTATCGGAAACAATGACAAGATTAAATTGCAATTAAGAGAACACTGTCTTTATGTATATTGTCAACAATGTGTGCAACTGAAGATCAATTTCAATACTTAGTTTGAGACCAGAAAAAAATTCAGCTTTGTAATGACAGGTGTGAGACGTTTTAGGTATTAAATAAAATATTATCAAGGTAGATGAAACAATTAAATCAACTGAAATTCGGGTTAATATTTTTATGCGGAAAACTTTTTTTATTATGCTCCTCACCCAATAAGAGAAAACCATAAGAACGAATTCAACAAAAGTACATTACATTTCGCAATAAAAACAACGTACTTATTTTGACATGAGGCCATTTCGGCTGCTCTAGAGCCTCTATGCAGAAGAGGGCGGTAAAATTTGTCGCATTGAGTGGCAAGTACATGGCGTCGGGGACTTTTATAGCTGCATGCACTTCTATAGTTGGAACGCATCGGTATAAATAAGCTGTACCACTGTTAATCGCGCCAACTGCCAAATCTAAAAGAGATAGACGAACGATTAAAGTACAAAAACAAATTACAAACACAAAAAGTTTCTTTTCGCAACGCAACATAATAAAAAAGCAAATTTTTCATAACAGACTAATCATTTGATTTTGAATAAATTGAAAAAAGAGATTTGGAATAAAGAAGAAAAAGGGTATTAAAAGAAATGCGAGAGAAGGAGGAACATCAAGAAAGGCAAGTTTACAAATTTTTAAACGCTCACCGCTGCAATTATTTTTGTCGACATCGAAACCTTTTGATATTGAAATTCCGAAACTCTGAGCGTCCTTTGCTACGATCTTTTGTACGTATTCCCCACTAAGGCCCTTTTCCCCGCCTCTATATAAGTAAACGGCACCACGGCCTTCGTTCTCCCACGGCGCCCCTACAGCGACATCTTGAAAGACAACAGAATTAATGATTCACTACGGTGTCTTGAATAAAATGGAGTAGATTTAAACCTTTAACAGATGATTTTATCATCATCCGTACCACTAAGGAATGGAACAACCTGCCGGCGTCCGTCTATCCGTCCGATTATATCGTAGGCGTCTTTAAAGAGAGAGTGAATAAGGCATTAACTGAGATAGTGCACTTAACGAGCTGCATCACTACTTATCATCAGGTACGACGGCAGTCGTGCTGACCATTTTCGAATAAAAAAATATGGAAAATTCGTATATCACTTCCGTTCATGGACATCGCAACGCCAGAATACTTGACTCCTCGGAGTTTGTAGAAGCAAACTTCTGACATTTTTTCGTTTGCCTCGAGAGAACATCCTCCTAATATAAATACGTTCCTCTAAATAGTATTTAATCAGTTAAAGCCAACCATAGGAATCAATAGCTAAAATACTAGCAGTCCTGGAGAAAATGGCTCTGCCCGATCCGGTAAGTTTTTCTGTGTTATATGTACGTTAATGTCTGGATAACCTAAATATTGTTTTTGAAACATATGTCAGGTATCCTTAAAAGTGAAGCTAATTTAAGCATTGTTAAGCGAGGCATCAATGAGAATTTTTATTGAGATTCGTCCAGCTTAGAAAATAGGGTAATTAAAAAGTATTCATTCACCTCTGTAGCCATCGCCGTCTACGTCGCCCATATCTGCTGTGACTGTGCCAAATCGCGCTCCATTCAAGCTAGAACCGGTGACGAAACCTCCAAGGTTTAAAGAGAAATTTTTATTCTGCACAAAGAAATTACTTAATATAGTTTGATAACTTTATAAGATGTCGACCCTGAATCTGTAATGGCTTAAACTTAGTGCAACAAAGCAGTTTTCTTTAAATATGCATTCGCATTTCTGTTTCTACGTCTATTGGCTTCGGCACAGGGGGTCGTGGGTTTGATTCCCACACGGGAAAATATTAGTTAGACCCGTAGAAAATTAATCCGAATTTGGGTATTTATTTCCAAGGAGGGTTGACATCATTTAGGCGCTTGGTCGCTAAAACCTAGCCAATACCATAAATGACTGACTGTTAACTGTTGTGTTCTGTTTATCCAAGCGTAGTGATTTTTTGTGAGTTAATTAAGAGAAAGAGTGAGTGTGCGTATAATGTTCTCTCGGAAAGTACCTTATACATTTGCAATTATCCTATTGAAAAACTATATAAAAATTTTAATGTTACTTTTACCTGCACACTATTGAGGTAGACAAAAACTGCGCCTTGGTCGTACCCAACCTCTCCTTCCCTTTTCACGAAGTTCGGTGCGCCCACCAAAAGGTCCAACTTTCCATCCCCATTCACATCCATGCAGCATAAGCTTGCGCCGAAATATGACCCTAGTTGTGGACCCCGTAGACTTAACACGATCTTCAGCGGATCGTTCTCTCTGAAGGCGGGTTCGAATATCAATACCTAGAGGGCCATGAAATTAATCATAACCGAAAAATTAAAAATGAATTTAGGTAATACGTGCTGGCTGTTAGCAGTGATTTGATCAATGTGTTAGAACTAGATCTCTATCTAGCCACGGGTGCGGGTTTACAATGAATTTTCTATTTTGCGATTTTTTGTGATTTTTTGTGTGCCGTATCTATCCGGGCACGTTTAGGATATCTGTCATCCTGGCATCAAAAATAAAATTGAAATCATTTTATCTAAATGTAATTGGTCCATATGTATATACATATTGCAGAAATAAAATATTCCATTACATATGTAATGGATAATACTGGGATATTATCCCATAAGTTAAAAATAAACTTATTGTTAATTTCATATCATAATCTAAAATTGTTTAATCTAAAAATTTTGTAAAAGTTACCCTGATGGCTTTCCATCATGGCCCTTTGGCCTATAATGTCAAATAATACACTGAGGAAAAGAATGTTTGGAAAAGACTCTTAATTTTCACTTGCCAGTCCTCTGGATGCGGCTGATTTTGTATAAGTATGTCATTAAAAAAATATAACAAAAACGCAGAGTTTTTTGCCGGTTCTTCTCTGGGCTCTCTAGTTTAGTGAACCGGTGGTATTTTTAGAGGTTCGATAAGAGCAACATAAAAGTAAAGTAAAGTAACAGCCTATACCTCCTCTATATCGAGGGTATCAGGGCATAGTCCACCACGCGGCCCCACTGCGGGTTGGCGGACTTCACATATCTTCGAAATATATATATTTTTTGTTATTATTTCGAATTCACTGGGCCATCACGGCTCTTCAGGACCAACATGCCTTTATTGAATAAAGAAATTTTGATACTTTTGTTAGTTAAGGATATATACCTGACCGTAGCTTGATTTGGATCGTGGTGCACCGGCTACGTATAAAGTTTTATTCGTTTCAAAAACACCCGACTCCACGCTATAACCTGCAATAATCATTCAAAGGCTTTATACAAAAGTTATTACAGCTGTCACTATAACGACCTGCGCAAAACGGTGTTAGTGCATCTTCGATCGATTAAAAGTTTGCGTGTGATTTTTATGCTAATATTTTGGTACGAGGCGTACGGAGGGCGATTGGGCGTTTCATAAGCTAGACCGGTGATGTCATTCATTTTGAGAGCTGGATTTATGAGGGTGTTGTCACTAGTCTGTAAATGCTTCGATTGCTAGTTCCATCACTGAAGTTTAACTAAAGTAATATTTGCAGACATTTCGGCAACGAAATTGATATAAGATACTCGGTCAGAATTAATATAATATTAGGAATCACAATATTCCCATTGCTTGTTTGCCACTTTGCTAGTAGCCGTTGGTTCTTTTGTAAACTGTTGAGTGACACCTTGTGCAATATCTATAGCAAACATATATTTAATGACCTTCAACGATGGGCTTGGCAGTGGATATTGAATCTGTATTTCGCGCCAGAGGGTGTAAGATCGATCCCGAACACTGGAAAATTATTTTGTGAGGCACTTACTATTTTCCTGTGCCAGGGATGTGTCTATTTACAAAAGAAAAGTTTGTTTAAGTATTTTTATCAGTTACCTAGTACCCATGGTACCATATTTGGGACCAGATAACGTTTTGAAATAATTTGTCCTGAAAATATTTATATGAATGTCTAAATACGCTGCTACATCCTTATTTCTTCTAACCGATTGCCCAGATCACTGCAGTAAGGCTGGTTTAGGATTATTATAGTGTATTGCAGTGTTATATAGTATATTGTAGTTTGTACAATTAGTTTATTATAGTGTATACCAGGCTTTAAATTGTATTTTTGCGTTTCACCATCGGGCAATAATTGTGTGAAATGCTAGCGATTATCGAATAATTGCAATTTTTATCATAAATCCATATTAAATTCTGTTAATAAAGCACAGAGGGCCCCCCAAAGGTTCTACTGAAGCGTGCTCCACTCAAGTGGAACCCGTCAATCCAACTTTGTTATTTTTTCAATTGCTATGAAATTGTAGGAATATTATTGAGATTTTGATGAATTCGCTTCAACTAAGGCTATTGATTGATCGTTGTCAATCAGGAGCTCAAGTCACCCGCATTTCTAAGACTAAAATCTCCAGATCAAAAGTTTTCAAGGAATCGAATGTACGTTTTACTCATTTACCATAGCCTCGCCACACACCTCGTCGACACTTCAACTCGTCGGCGCTAATTAGTTTTAAGACGGAACTAATTAAATTCTTCTAAGACAATGTAAATTTTGAAATTATCCATAGCTTACAACATTTCACCCAGATGTAAGTACGATAGGCTATTTAAAACAAGAGTGCAATCGAAAGCTACATATTTCAGGTGATCCTAGGCAATCGGACATTTCATATGCTGAATACCATATGATATGATATTTAATTTAGTGTCAGAGTACAGTAGTTTAATTATTTTATTATCTATCAATCAATTATAACGGACATTTCAAATTAATGATAATAAAGTTTATTAAAGTCCAAACTAAAAATATATATTTGAATATAAGTATTTCCAATTATTAAATGAATTAAATAATTTCTTGTATTTATGCGATTACACATTATAAATGAAACTAATTTAACGGATTTATCGCGGTTATATTTTTTTTAATAAAGGATTAGTTTCATTTATAATTTAGATAGTTATAAAATTCGAGAACAACGTTCCGCGAATATATATTTTCTAAAATAAAAATAACTTCCTTGTGTCACTTTTAAAATAAAAGTTTCTGCATTTCCTGTATCTTCTTCATTTGTTGAACTTTGAAACCAACCGACAAAAAAAAGTACCAGAAAATGAAACAAAATAAGAATATGAAATAAATGAAAATTGTAATGGTAGACACCGCAGAATCTGAACTCAATTATTATTATTATTATTTTTGGGGGATATTCATTTGTTTTCACGTCTGGTTGGGTTTATAGATAAAAAATAAACATATAGATATATATTGCATATATAAAATAAATATTATGAATAAAAATAAACATATGGATGTAAATACTATATATAATACAGATATAAATAGGACCCAACCAGACGGAAACCCTCGGCAGGGGAGACCAACGGCCGAGGGTTAGGGTGAAAGGGAGAGAAACCGGCAGACGATGCGGGCGGTATCGAGGAGCACCGCCTTCTGCATTAGAGCTTGGAGCATTCCGTTCCGGAGTCCCAGTCGGATCAGATGTCCGGAGAGGCTAACTGGGATCAACCCATTCGCAGACACGACTATCGCGATAATTTCGGTCAGCACACCACCCCACATGTCGGTCACCTCGTGAGCCAGGACCAGAGACTTCGTCTTCTTTATTATTATTATGACTATATTTTATTTCAAGTAAGTAAGACTCAATATAGAAAGGAGTAAATAGTCACAGAAATAATGATTACTTACCAAAATAGTCATCCGGGCCCAAATATTTCGTGTAATAGGGATTTGTGGTCGGCTGTTTCGAAAAAAACATAGATCGTGTATCAGGATAGAACTGATAATCGACAATCCCGCCTAGAATGAAAATATAGACAAGTTGAGCATCTGTATGTTAAAACATGAAGAAGTGCCCCCTTAAATAGTAATTCCCAAAGGATATGATGAAAACTGTAATTCGAAAGGTCTATCGGGAGGTCAAACATACATACAATAATTACCCCAGAAAGTGACCTTTAAGCACTCAACTGAAAGGTTTTGGTTTCCTTTGTTCGTTTGTGAATGAGGGTCCCTTCGATTTCTCTTGCAATACATAGGTACCTAACTGATCTGCTACATATGTTCCTTCCTATTTTGTAAAGTTGGATTAAACTTAATGTTGTAACTGTTCGATTTCGAAGTCATCCCAAATCTATTTGAATATGATTCTACAGAACTGAGAGTAACAACACCAAAGAGAAATTCGGTTAGCAATGAAAATGAATTCACGTGTTTGTTTCTGCTTTTATATAGTCACCTGGTTAAATTTGAGGCCTTTAATTCCTACCTGTCCATTGGAGAAGACCGGGTGCACCGATCAATACGGAGTTACTGTCCGTTACTTTAACCGATATGCCTGCTTGTGCGTACGCATAGAGATTTAGATGGGTGCCGTACTCGCCGTACTCCTTCCTAGAACCGTCCGTTTTGAATGCTTGATGATCTGAAGAAAGATATAGAAGTGCAGTGAAAGCATATTTGCTTTGATATTGGTATCTAACAAAGAGAAAAACTCAATGAAAATTGCTTAATAATTGGATTTTACTCAATCATACAATGTCAGGACAAAACTGTTGAACCAAGATATTGTTTTTAAGGTTTATCAACAAAAACCAAAGAAGATAAAGTTTATAAGAAAATTTTCCGGTCCAAAAGCTTTAGATTTTAGAGAAGACTACAGGTCTATTTTGACATATATGTGAGCAACTGCTTTGACTTTAGAAGATTTTGTTTTTTTTATACCACTATTTACGGTTGATGGCATAGATATGATGTAAATTCCATCCATTCTGATTGGCATACAGAATCAGATGCGGAATCCTGAAAAAATCTTATCATTCAAAGTATTGAATTTAGTTTATAAAAAAAATGTCTTTCTTTTGGAGATCAACTATCGTGGTGTGCAATCATTCAAAAAATAACTTGTCACTGTCTGTCAATTTGGTTTAAACTGTTCGCTAAATACTTACTCATTTCCTTCAAGGGCAGGAGACTCATTCCTCTCCTGTGCGATGTTACGTAGCACGCGCCATTGGCAAGCAAATGTTTGTCCCTATACGGGACCGTCCACCGAGGGGCACACATCTGTAAAATAATATTAAATTATCACTATCTCTTTTGTAGCATACGATTACTCTGTTTTGTTTATGAGAATATCTTCTATTTACGCGATTACACATTTATAAATGCAACTATTTTGTACGGATTTATTGCGTATTGACTTTTGATCTTATGAATAGTAAACGTAGGAGATATTAATTGTAGTACATATCGTTTTTTAAACAATATCATTTCTTACCAAAAGTTTACCATTTGGCACGCTCGCAATGGTTGCACCAAACCACATGTCATCTTTGAAGAAGTCCTTTGGTATTAAGATATTTCCAAAGAATCCTCCGTCAACTGAAAAAACGTTTCATAGATTATTAATTTCTGATTTTTAAACTTATCTTCCTACTGTACATTCCCTTGATCTCAGTCACATCTGAAGTTTGTTTATTGAATACTAGCGACCCGCCCCGGATTCCAAATGTATTATACATATAAACCTTCCTCTTGAATCACTCTATAAAAAAAAATTAAACAACTAAGTATACAGAGGGAGAGATAGACAGCGGGACGACTTGTTTTATGGTATTTCTATATATACGACGGCCGGTCTTAAACAACCTAGTCAAAACCACTTACAACATGGTTCACATGTTGCGTCCACCCCGCCTAGATGGGTAAGGGGAGGAAGGGTGATGATGATAAACAATTAAAAAATGTAACCCCAGAAAGTTGGTTTATAAAACCTTTTTTTTACAAAACTTATATTCATCGGTCCACTAATAATTCATAAACTAAATTATAAATTACCATTTTTTTTTTAATAATAAGTAGTATTATCTGGTAGCAAGCATGAATATCCCGAGGTTAACTTTTCGTTCAGGATTTTAAGTCTACTGGAAAGCAATGCATCGCTTAAAACCGATTGATACGCTTTCAAAGACTATAAAGATTTTCTTAATGGTTCTACATACATTTACAGACTTCCTCACATTTGTGTTCAAATACAAATAATTGAAATAAATACTTGTATAAACTTATGATGATTGATAAAAACGTATTTCAAAGTTAACATGCGAGGGCGTTCGTCTATTCTCTTTGCATCTTTAAGGTGTACAACAGAAGTCATAAATTTCCAAATGCTATTATTTTTAAAACATTTCATTGCGGATTGCGGATGAGTATGTCTTTTAACGAAGTGGGCCTGGTTACCTTCCCCTTAACGCCAGTTTTCTGTGAGTCGTAATACTTCACCGAGCCTAAGAAGAGAAGCTCTGCTCATTCGTGCAACAGCAAAGACCGCGAACGTGGCCCTACCACAATCAAAGACACCGCATGTATACATACTACAGACAGGTTTACCGTAATGATTAGAAGGATATAAAATTCAAATGGAACATGAGATTTTTGCCCTTTTCAACCGCCATCGTTTAACTTTTTACCTTTTTGTAAGATGGGTATTGCAATAAGCAATTCATTAATTGATAAAAACCAGAGGTTTTTAATTCTAAGTCCTTTCAGGTGTTTACTACACCATCTACAGTTTTGATCAGAACATTTTTTATTCGGTAGTTATTTTGACAGTCAATTATTTTTTTTTTTTTATGTGAAAAGTTGCCAAACGAGCAGGTAGTTCACCTGATGTTAAGTGAATACCGCCGCCCATGGACATCTGCTACACCCGAGGGTTTGCAGATGCGTTGACAACCTTTTGAAAATTGGGCTCCGGCAACCTCACTCACCGGTCGAAACGCGAAAGTATTATACTTCCACTTTACGCCGGTCTTCTGTGAGGTCGTGGTACTTACCCGGACGAGCCTGCCCACTCGTGCAACAGCCGAGGCTGCTGCGTGGCCCTACCACCGAATTTTACACCGAAAGACGCATTACACTCACCAATTAGTGAGTGTAATGCGTCTATATCGAATAAATACTATATATAGACTTTGAATTTGATTTGAAATGTTGCCTGCTCCCAACTTGCTGGTAAAAACCTACACATCCTTTTCTTGAACAGATATTTGTCTGGGTTATATATGCATGGAAAAACATTTCATTATATGCAGTCCTATTTATTCGTTCTTTCACTAATAAGTAGCTCAACTTTTTAGTTTCTACTTTCTTAAATTATTTATACTTTTTGTATATAATAATGGCACAGCAAATTAGCAATTTTTCACTGTCACTTTGACATATTAAAGTGGTTAAATGAATCCATTGAATATAAATAAATAGATTAATATTTCAGGATTTCAGGAATTGTTTCAGAATTTCACACATTGTCATTTTTTTAAATAAAACATTGCCCTTACTTTAGGATAACATTATCTTGTATTGTAAGGACGTTTTACTAACATAAATTTCACGTGGACAAAGACCCAGATGCGAAACAACTATCTGTAGGTCACACAAACAGCTGTTCCGTGTGTGAATCGAACCCACAACCCCTGACGCCGAGGGCAATACCTTGGCAACTGCGTCAGGGATTCATCATAAAAGCTATTCCCGAACTTTACAAAACTTGTAATTTGTACCTACTCAGTAACTAATAAACATACTAAAAAATCCTTTTCCTTTGTGATTATATACATATTATAGATTTATGAACACATAGACACTAAAAAACACCGTGTTCTTGATACAATATTTCTCCAGTGGTGTCAATCCAAACACTTTGGCGGAAGAGACAGTACCACTATCCACTGCGCCAATTGGCTCGTCATTTCCCGCACAATCCTCACATTCCTCACATCGAAATGGCTCCACAGAATACCAGCATTGCGAAACTCTTCGTATTTTTTGCTGAGTGGAGACCATTTTTGACATAAACTCACAGCACAATACATTCCTTATTACATATACAATTAACATTTTATCCCTCAAAAGTTTCTGTCTTTTTGTTTCTTTATTAATAATTATTATATTTCTAACTTTTTGTACTTATTTTTTTCCTTTTTTTTTAACTTGTTTTTTGTTGAAACGATGTATTGTTTTTATTTTTCAATTTGTTATGTTCATTTCATTTATTTTTGAATGTTTGTGCTCTTTGTTGCATGGCTCAGTCGTAGTGCCTAGTCATGTGGGCCGACTAAACCGCAAGTGATTTAATTAGTAAATGCTAAAGTACAACTACCTATCTATTGGACCTTTAATGGTGAGTGTGTCAATGAATTAGTCATCGACGATTTGAAAATATGCTATTACAGGAAACTAAATATCAACTGTACTCGTTTGTTACTACAGTAACTTTGTATATTAATTAACCACGAAAGTAGAAACCTATTCAATTTTTTTTACGACTGTACGTTTTATTTAATTTTAGTCTTTTTAGACTTCTGTAATTACTTATATAGTGATTAAGGGAGATCAATGTGGTTTTGATTCGTTGTTGAATGCTTTCTTTAATTCAAAAACCTTACGAATCAAGCGTAAAATTACTGTTCCATGCAACTTATGTAATACAATTAATTATTCTTTCTTCTATGTTGCTAAAATGAACTAAATTAAAAAAAACCGATGGGATCGTGTTACATTTTTAGTTATTTTAATATTTGTATAAATTTAATAAGTCCATTTTTTTATAAATGACGAAACCGAGTTCATATATCTCGCTCTGTATTCATTTTATCTTTTTTATATAAATATCACTGTATTATGGGACCACATGGGAATCACCTACATTCAAATAAAAAAAGAATCATCAAAATCGGTTAACTCAGTCCAAAGTTCTGAGGTAAAATAAAAAATACAGAAAAATAGAGAACCTCCTCCTTTTTTGAAGTCGGCTGAAAAGAAGAAGCAGCAGAAGAAGTGTAAATTAATATAATGAATATTACCGTCTATGTCAAGGCCGATAGGACGACATGTGGAATTTAGTACATTTAAACGCGTAAGGTCACATTCGAAGACTAGACCGGGCGATATATTTCTGTCGTCTCTGCTAGCTGCCTTCGGTGCTCCCACGATGAATCTGAAAGTGAGAGAGAAATCACTTATAATATAGGACAGGAAAGAAATACCGGCCGAATACCTTTTCAAGCAACTACAAAAGAGTACGAGTTTCTCAATTCGACTGTATTTTTTTATGTTTGTCAGCTCATTACTATCGATTGGGTGAGCCAAATTTTGATGATTCTTTATTTAGTTGAAAGTTGGTGCTTCCCATGTGGCCCCGTATTAATTTAAATTGACTCCAAAGACTTACTTAGGGCACTCCAGAAAATCAACTATAAAATGTATACAGAGCGAGATATTTTAAGTCGATTTTGTTTTCCGTTAATAGAAATGTGCATGATCGCTTCCTTAACGAATTATCGAGTGTGAAAATTCCTGATCCACAATTTCAACACTTTATTCTTTTGAAGCTAGTGTTCTATCTGCGGTTTCATGTTGTTTAGTAAGGTGGTCATCACATAACGGTATGATCGTCTTGTAAAATCGCTTTAAACCCACTTTTAACTACTCTGTCTCTGAGATACCAATTAGTAAAAGCCGGCCAAGTGCGAGTTAGGCTCGCGCAGGAAGGGTTCCTTACCAAAATCTATAAAAATGGCAAAAAAAATCGTGCCTCTTGTATGGGAGAACCACTTTAATAATTTTTGTTCCGTTTTATAGTATTTTTTGTTATAGCAGCAAAAGAAATTCATTATTTGCGAAAATTGAGACATGAGACAGGCTGGTAACAGACAGACATGCAGCGGAGTCTTAGTAATAGGATCGCCTTTTACCCTTTGAGTACGGAACCCTAATAAATTAACATTGAATACGTTTATTATCAAAGTGTACTCACCAAGTAAAAAGAAAATAATTTATTGCCTTCTTAACGCTAATTAGCGGCATTGTGTGCAGTCGTAAGCAGCTCAAAAAGTGACAATTATAGGCTTTTTTTTTAATTCATGCATAATTGTATTGAATTATATTCCTTTATACAATAATATTGAATAAAATTATACTTATATCTCAAACTTCAGATGGTTTTCGGCTAAGAAAAGTTTACACGCTATTAAGTCTTCTTAATTAGTATTTATTATATTTAATCTATGGTTTGGGGATTACTTGACGGTGAGGCTGCAGCTTCAAAAATCTGCATCGCTCGGATTACCTATGGATTTATCGGTTATCACTACATAGTATAAAACAAAGTCGTCCCGCTGTCTGTCTGTCCCTATGTATGCCCAGATCTTTAAAATTACGCAACGGATCTTGATGAATTATGATCGTTTTTTTTACTAGATAGGAGTGATTTAAGAGGAAGGTTAATATGTATAATACATTGCACCCGTGCGAAGCCGGGGCGGGTCGCTAGTCATATATAAATAACGTTCGCCGCCAAGTGGTTGAATGTCGACGCAAATATCCTCTCTATTTACCTCTTTTGACAAGACATCAAAATAAGTAATATAATCAATAGAAAAAAAAATATACATTATCTGTTCACGTTTGCTTTGTTTCATAATGAGAGTACCATTATCATTTACGAATGTTATGGAATTCAGCCTGATGCGACATCAAACATTCTTTGATGTTTTGATTGACCAACGCCAAAAACCGTTCCTTTAAATAGAAATATAAAGCTCATTTGTACATGATATCATGTGCTCGTTTTAATATAGGTTTTATAAAAGTATGTGAAAAAGCATTTAGAAGGTTTCAAATTTTTGGATTGCTAAACCCAATGGTAAATTCTACACAAAGTTTAAAATTTTTACATATAATGTCGAAAAGTCTTTCGCCGCTGCTAGGATTCGAACCTGTGGCTTCCGAATTACGTGCAGGTACTCTAACCATTGAGCGATCGATGTCCTCACCGCACGGGAGTCCCGAGATCTAATTTATTATATTTTATTGCATTTTTAGCGTCATCTAATGCCCTTAACAGAAAACACAATTTCTCAAACGATATGTTTGCTATGAATATTTAACTAGATATATGTGCTATTATACTAAACCTCACATTCTGTAAATTTTCGTTTTATATGAATACTGTGTGAAAAATAGACTAAAAAGTAAACCGAGTAAGTTCCCTCTTATCAAATATTGATAGTCACAATCCTGAATCCGAGCGGTAAAGGCACTCACCCCATATCGCTTAACAACACCGAATAACCGAAATATATCGAGTCTGCGTCAGGAACAAAAGTTATTTTGCTTCCCTCGTGAAATATGACACTGCACTCGCACAAAACAACTTTCAATATAATTAAAACAATGCAAGAACTCATTGCACACATTTTGCTTTGATAATTCACTAGATAAGATTCAATATCCCAAAGTACCCGCACAATTCTGTTGACATTGCGATGTCCCGCAACGGAATGAACTTTAGCGTTGTATTCGTCATGTACAGATGATTAAACGAAACACAATAATATAATAATAATTGTACCATTAAAGCAACTTCGACTTTACAACGTACAAAACGAAGATAAATTTATACTAATTAAAATTTATGCTATTATCGAGCTTTTGTCGCTGTTTGAATCATTAGGTATTGTTCAGTTCAGCAATTATCTATTGTGAAATTTAAATGAGTATTTAAAATATTTATGTTGAAGAACTTTGGTGATGTAAATCAATTAACAACCAGATAAAGAAATTCGTGTAGTATTAATTAATCTTTTTAAAACAAAATAGATACTTCTACATGTTTGTAATAATTTTAACCATTATCTTTACATGACAAAAGTTACTTACATTTATAAGTAAATGATTTTTAAAATTGTGTTCATTATGAATTTGTTATTATGAACGACACCTGTCAAATATCATAACGATTCAAAAAAGGTGCAATGTCATTATTTTGAAATTACTAAATGAACCTATGCTTACAGATTTATTGCTTTTATTTTTGATTTTAAGCGTTCATGGTCACGGGACAGACTGAGGCGTTGGACGTCTGAGTGTCATTGTTAATCCAGGCTAGGTAGAGCCACGCAGCAGTTTCGGCCATTCCACGAATGGGCAGGCTCGTACGGGTAAGTACCACGACCTCACAGAAGACCGGCTTAAAGTGGAAGTATAATACTTTCGCGTTTCGTCTGGTGAGTGAGTTGGCCGGAGCCCAATTTCCAAAAGGTTGTCAACGCATCTGGAACCCTCGGGTGTAGCAGACATCAGGTAAACCGTCTGCTCGCTTGGCAATTCTTCACATAAAAAAATAATTATTAATATTTTTTGTCGACCTACGCAATACGAAATAGATTAGATTATTGAATGTCTACCCAATTCGATTGAACAAAGGTTTCATTGTAGGATCATAACTAAATAAGAAGAATCTCGCTTAAAGTTATTCTAAGCTAAAATAATAAAATATGATTTTAGATCACCGAGTCATCTGACTTCAGCTGGAGATAATTTGTAATTTAACGTGCGGTGGTCGGAAATTAACATTTTAACTGCGAAGTAACTAAAGAATTATGATGGCTTCACTGATGAAGTTACGAAGTGATTGCTTTAGGCACTACTATGCACAATTGGTGTTCACTCTCCTCCAAGTTGGAGGATATCAATTCATAGAAATTCAATGCGAATATTCCTTAACATCACAATTAATTCAGCCGTGTTCTAGTCATCTGCTGAACATATAACAACCAGACTGCCACGAAGCATGACCCTGAGCGAATCTTGTTTGTTGCGAAAGTATGAAATAAACATTTTGTGTGAAGATTTTTGAATTGTTTTACGATATACGGTACATTACAAGGTTTTTCATTAAGTTAGCTCTTAAATTAGTCAATCTCCAGGTTGCATTGAATTGGGCGTATAAACCTAAACGGGAAATAATTGGACTATTAGGAAAAAATTGTGAGCTGTCACGGTTCTTAATATAAATATAAACGTGTCATTGCCGTAATCCGCAAATTGCCAATCCGTTGCATCGTCCAAAGCATTCAGTTTCCCCTAAGTCGCGCCTAAAGCAGTGTTGCTTCAAAATCACATTGGACTTCGTCAGTTATAGGAATGTAGTGTAAAGTTATGACAAAACAATTATCATGATGTTTCCTTCCTGCAGATAATGTCTGAATGAGTCAGGCGCCGGTCGTGACAGTGCAGAGTACGTGTATCGATGACCTCTCCTAACAATGTAGTGATTGTAAAATACATTACTCCCATATGTACAATTCCGCATTTATATTCCCTTGTTCGTTTTCGATGACTAGAGCGTAACAAACCCCAACTAATAAAACAATTAATTTCGTAAAACTACTACGTGTATAAATTGGTCGTGATAACATTACGTTTATTTTCCGTGGTAGGACCATTACTACAGTATTCGCTGTTGCACGAATGGGCAGGTCCGTCCGGGTTAGTACCACGACCTCACAGAAGACCGATGTGAAGTAGAAGTGTTACACTTCTGCGTTTCGTCTGGTGAGTGAGGTAGCCGGGGCCCACCATATTAAATAGTGGCAACACCTCTGCAACCGGTGTTGCAAATGTCCGTGGGCGGCGGTTATCACTTAACATCAGGTGAACCGCCAGCTCGTTTGCCACTTTTCACATAAAAAAAAATATTTCTAGTTTTTTTACTAAGTACGGATAAATTCATTATTTAACTGCAGAGAGAAACTAATATACTTAAAGCATTATTTATAGAAAACTATACCACGATAATCTGATTCCGAAAACGGAAACAAAAGCGCTGTAACGGTGTGAGCCCCTTTGTCCCTTTATTATATGCACACTTCATCTCATAAGCGATTAACAACCACCTAGTGCTCCACACACTCCACTTTAACACTTCATGTGTGTGATATATGAGAGTCAATATCACCATGAGTATCGGTGGCGTCAAATAATGTCATCCTTCTTAAGTGCTTTACAGGAGATGCTCCACCAACCTACTAGTTGAATAACACTGCGATACAAAAACATGAGTAAAAATTGTGATTAATAAAAATTTGAATACGAAACATTTTAACTAATGTAAAGTACAAAACGTTAAAAAATAATGTCAAAGAATAAAGTCAGGTTTGTGATAGTAAAAAGCTCAACTGATTTTCAAATCGTAGTCCAAATCAGGTGATTTGGACGACGATATAAATAGGACCTTTCCTATGTATTTACCTTTCCTATGGAACTACCTGGGAATGGAGAAAGCGGATAATATTGATAATTTCTTTTTTTTTTTTCGTTCTTGCAGCCGTGATAGCTCAGTGTCCGGGCGATTAGATTTCATAAGGCTATTTAATTCGAACCGCTAACTACAGGAGTACTTGACGTTTTGATGTTCATGATCTGGGTATATTGCTGCAAGTACGAGAAAATTAATAGATTATAATAAAGTGATATAATAAGGAGGAGCGTGGATAGCTCAGTGTTCGGGCGCTCGTCTTTAATTCAATATACTCGAGCAAACTAAGTTCGATCCCCGGTGCCGGCACCAATAAAATTGTTAATTTTAAATGCCGAATTATCACGTGCTCAGCGGTGAAGGAAAACATCGTGAGGAAACCTGCATATTATCGAAATAATAACAAAAAAATATTTCGAAGATATGTGAAGTCCGCCAATCCCCAGTGAGGCCGCGTGGTGCACTATGCCCTGATACCCTCTGTACAGAATAGGCCTTTGCCCAGCAGCCGCACATGTATAGGCTGATACTTTACTTTTTTACTTAACTTTTCGTTTTTCTATATAAATGACAATTTCATATTCGCAAAATCTACACGCTTTTGAGTATGTAATTTTGAGGTGTTCAAAACGAAAAAATAGCAACAGGCTCCAGTTTGCCAGTTGTTATAAAATTTCACGAATCGCACGAAATGTCTAAAAGGGCTAAAATTAGCCATTTTAAACTAGCATTCGGGTTGCACAAAACACAAATTATTTTAAATAATGTATCAGACTTTAATGTGTCAGACGTATGTAATATAATCAATAATGTGTTTATTTTGATTTTCGTACGCAAATAATAATTCTTAGGGGCCGTCCATTAATCACGTGATGTTTTCTAACATTTTTAACCCCTTCTCCTCCTTGGTGATACGTAGTGAGATTAAAGACTACCCCCCACCCCTCCCAAAATCACGTGTATTTTTTACTACCTACAAAGAATCTTAAAATATTTAGAATATTATCTTTAAATACAGGTATATAACATAATACAGTTTTTATTCTGAAATTAAGGACCACGATAAAAACTCTCTTACTACACCCGCCCCCCTCCCCCTTGTTACATTTCGTGATTTTTGCCGAACCCCCGTAACTCCCCCCTTTTCGAGCCCCACGTAATTAATGGACGGCCCCTTACGAGCGCACATATTTACACATACACGTTTGTTATACATCAAAGAGCCTCGCAAGGCGGAGCGAGTGACGTCATCAAGGCCTAGGTCAACCGAATAAACACATTAGTAATTAATTAACATTTTCTACAAAAAATTGTAAAAATTCAATGAATCACATTAAAAATAGGCTCGCTTCAGATGGTCTACATTGACTTATGCCTTGTTTAATTTTTGCATTAGGTTTACTTTTTAGGGTTCCGTACCCAAAGGGTACAACGGGACCCTATTACTAAGACTCCGTTATCTGTCTGTGTGTCGCTGTATATCATGAACCGTGATAGTTGAAATTTTCACAGATGATATATTTCTGTTGTTGCTTTAACAAAAAAATACTAAAATATGGAATAAAAAAATATTTAAGAGTGGCTCCCATATAACAGACATATTTCTTCCTCGCTTTTTTAGACGGAACCCATCGTGCACGAGTCCGACTCGCGATTGGCCGGTTTTTATTAGAGCGCTGGGAGGTTTTTTTTGGCATTATATATCACTTTTTGCCTTTATAAACCCGCCGGAGAGGTGACTCAGGGCACATAGCCTGAACTTCGGTTATTATTACGCGTTATGTTGACTAGGCTCGAGGGCTGCCGAGGCATCCTCGGCTCGGGCCGTCACGCTATTATTAATCTTACCGGTTTGGGAGGCCGTCAAGCTCTTAGCGCGCTTTGGCGAAAGCTCCATGGAGTGACTAGGCTCAAGGGCCCCCGAGAGGGGACCTCGGCTTGGGCTGCCACTCAATACCCGTTTAGCATTCAGATTCGAGGGTTCCTGAGAGGGCCGGACCTCGGCTCGAT